CAACTCTCGTGCTCGCACCACAACCACCACACCACCACTAGCAGTCAGATAAGCGAGTGACAGACCAATATCGCTGTGTCTCGTTTTCATACATATTTTTTTCGTCTCTTGTATTCGCATAAACTGCAATATGCTTTTGGTTTTGGTGCTTTGTTACGTTTTGTTATTTCAATGGACTAATGGAGAGAAAGAGTAAAACAGAAGAAAAGAGAGCAAAGCTTGACACTGCCACTGCTACTGCATACGTACGAGAATGCAACGCGACTCATAAAAATTTGCGCCCGAAAAAGTTTTATTATTATTAAATATTTGCGTTTTTTCCTCTCTCTCCTTTAAACTCTAATGGTTTTTCAACTTTTATTCTGTGTCGGATTCCATTTTATTCGCGACGGTTTTGTTCTGGCTATAGAATCATTGCATTCTTTTAAATGAAATTAGGAAGTGGGTTTTGGTTTTATGTGATTTGAAAATACGCGCTCCATTAGCTGCGCCGTGCACTTTGTTTGTATTTCAATACTGTAGCAAACATAAAATCAACTTCGAAAATGGACATTTATGGGCTGTGCCACAGCAATAAAATACACTAAACATAGGATTCCAGTTTTCGATAGAGCCAATTTGTTCACATGAAATTCAATCCGTTCTGCGCTAATTTACTGAAAATGGTTTAGAAAATAACAGTTAACAATTAATTTGTCTCGTGGAATGGTGTTACAAATAAAATTGATCACTTGGTTCAAAACCAACGCTCTAATTTATTTTCTCGTGTGACTATTTTTGCCCATAAATTGGCTCATCATTGCAGCGCCACCACGATTGAAACAAATTGAAATTGTTTTCATGCCCCAGAAATCCACTGGTTGAATGGGCCATTTAAAATTACATTTGTTCGTTAAGTTCGTTTCGAAGGCGAGAGGAAGGGAGAATCAGTTATTTTGGTAACAAGACTATCGTTTACGGGTTGAAATTTTTAAAATTTTTCACAACTCACTATTCCAATTTTGGTAAATTGAATTATTGAAGAGCATTTGAAGTGCTTCAATCTTTTGAATATTACATGAATGCTTTTTAGGAGTTGCAACGTTTTGAGAGAGAGAATACATAAATTGCAATTTCATTTCCAATGGATCAATGTCATGTTGCCGGTGAACGGAAAATGAATCGCTTTATTGTCAATGCATTATTGCGACACGCTGGATTTAGGAAGAATCTGATTTAAACTGTACTCAGCTTGTTTCTTCATTGCGGTCGATTTAAACGGGAGAAGTGCATGAAATCAATAAATGATTTTAAATGCAAATTGACTTTTCACTTTTGAAATGACTCTCCGCTCGATGTTCCACTTAATATCAATTCTTTCATTAGGACGAAAAGTGGCGGCGAAATAGCAAATTCATCGCTCGTAATGATGATTCGATTGCAAGCTAAACCAGAAAACGGAATACAGACAGAGAACAATGGACAGAAAGAGAGAGGGAGAAAATGTGCAAGTTTTTTTGAAGTAACGAGAATTGTTTGTGCATTAATCATAAAAGAATGACTAATTTTCCGCTCGTTACCATTTGATTCGAGAAGCGTTGCAAAAATGGCATCGTTTACAAATAAACACTTCTTTTCCATTGTGAGTCCGGGCACAGAACCGAACTCTCTGCCAGAATGGATGAATAAATAAAATGAGGAATCAAATAAGTCGATAAATGTTGGCTTAAAGTTGGAAATGCTGTTCGGCAAACAAATGGACTGTGAACAACTACAATCAAGTGCTTTATTTTTTTTTTGTACATTTTCTTTTCTTCACTTTTTCAATTCGTCGTAAGCGTCTGCTGTGTTTTTCTGCTGTTGTTTTTTTGTTGTTGTCGGTGGGTTTGTTGGCTTGTGTGCCGCACAATGTGTTGCTCTGGAAAATGCGGAAACTCTTTGCCGATGTTCACATGCTCGATTGTGCTGATTCAATTGCTCTTTTGTTTCGCCTCGTGAAACGAATGTCGGATTTGTTCGCTTGTTCCTTTTTTTCATACATATATGAAATGCCGCAGACGGAATGCAATGCGAATCATATATGAAAGCCCAATGGAAAAGCTGGCTCTCGAGGCGCGATGCAAACAAAACGGCGAACAAAAAACTCGACGAAAAGAAGCTTTCCGTGCAAACAATGCTCTACTCTGAATGGTAGCCGGGAAAAAAGGATTAGAATGGGAAAAATATCCATGAGACGAAAACGTTAAAAAAAATGAAGAATCAAAACGATATCACGATACCAAAACACCGAGAAGAGAGGAGTGGAATTACACACGACAAACACTCACGTCGCGAACACCTGCTAAACTTTCACTTTACGCGTGAGTTTTTCCGTCTGCGACGTACGGCTTTGTGCTGCAAGCACACATTTAATATTGCTAATGTCGGCATCATCAGCCGATTTATTTGCAGTGACTCAGTGTGGAAGAACACGGTCTGCTACCGATTCCAGAACAACAACAACAAGAAGAACAACCCACTAAAATCTAGAACAAATATTCGTCGCCCGAAAACTAGTGCGTCGAGTACGTTGGAACTGAAGGGAAAAATTAATCTGAATGCGAGAGCTACAGCCAGTCAGTTTAATGAAAATTTCGGCGAGAGCCGAGTAGTTAAACGGCAAATGCAGTGGTAAACATCGGTTGACGACGAGAAAAAAACGTCGGACGAACGGCACAAATTCAAAAGACAAGTATGAAGGAAGAACAAACGAGAGAAGAAGAAAAAAAAAGACAAATGAATTTCGGAATCTGATTCATTAGCATTTAGGACGTAAACAGACGGGGAATGTTGTGCCGTCGGTGAAAGTCGATGAAGAACTTATGTTCGTGTCGTTCTTGTTTTCGTTTTTTTTTTGTCTTTTGCACCACTGCGCTTGGTCGCTGTCGTCGCTGTCGTCGCTTGTTGGCGGTGCCGTGAATATTCGTCTATTATATTAGATCGATGCAGCAGCAACCTATCGAAGCAATTATGCTTTCTCTAGCAGATTTTTGTTATCACTCGCGTCCAACAGCCAAATGGTTTGCCGTCATGCTTTTTTTTTCTTTCTCTGTGTTTGGTGCTCTGTTTCTCTCTGTCGGTTTGTCGTTGGTGGTCGGTCGTATTGCACAAATTCACGCGCTTTTGAGTTAAAACTGTGCCAAAAACACAGCAACACCGATCTAGAAACGTCAAAAGCAGCAGCACAACCCAAGCACAGCACACACACACACAATTACCAACAATAGTAGTGTTGGAAATAGCACAAACTTTTCAACACATTATTTTCTCTTTTACATGCGATTCCCGTACCGTTGACATGAAATAAGAGACACCAGGTGCAAGTAATAAATTTAAAAATTTACACGTTTTGGGCGGACGAAATTATGGAATTTAAATGCTTTTAAACAATACATATTATATATTATACAAAACATCGCATGATTATGGCTGGCAAAATGTTAAGCAGTCTTCCGCTCTGTCTCTCTTTATCTATCTAAATCAGTGCTTCTACTACGGAGATTAAATTATGATTTCGTCATTCTTCAGAATTTTTCGTTCGTTGACTTTGCCGCTAATGAATTATTTGGCTGTTCAACGGTCGAAGACCGGTTCTTAATATCGGAAAAAAATATGACGCACTGAACACACCGATAAAACTCATTAAACTGCGACGCATAAAGACAAATCGATACGCTTTTTTCCACCTTTGTACCAGAGGCCATATTTTATTTATAATCGCTTTATGGTTGCAATACATAAATCTACCTTTCAACCGGTATTTTTACGCGGTTTTCGACGATATTTCGTACACCATAGTAATCGGAGATGCAGACCCATTCAATTTCCGAGAAATGCAATCGCAAAAGATCAATAGAAGTAATATTCATTACTTTTCTCCCATCTCAATATCAGCATGTCAATATTTGAATTGACTTAATTTGAAAGGCGAATGTTGTCACTTTTTGTGAATTATGTTGCAAGTTTCATTTTTCCGACGGGTTTAGTTTTGAAAAAAAAAGATCCTACCATAGGAGCATGGTTTTCATGGAATTGTGTCAAATGTAATTTTAAGCACTCAGTTTTACTTCAATATGGTCAATACTTCATATATGGTCAATTTCACGGTTGAAATAAAAGTTACTCTTTGGAAATAAAAAAAACTGTAGATTTTAATGAAGATCAAATCAGTTTGCGGTGGAACATGTCAACAAAAATGCGCAGTTTTTTATCATACACTAAAAATAGAATGCGGTTACCCGAACCGAAATTCAATTAATGTTTTTCATTCAAAATTGATTCTAAACCGCGTTCGACTCATTTGGAATTTCGCTTTATTGAAATTTTCAAACCAGCTAATTTTAGATTAAACTTGGCACCGATTCTACGCTGCCAAATGTAATAACTCGGGAGAAAAAAACGCCGATTGATTTGGTTTAATTTGATTAACCGGATTAATCTGACTGAATTGAACATTTGATCTCACTCTATCCATTATCCGCACAAAAAAACGTACATACCACGAAATGAGCGTAGTATTTTTTTTTCTGTATACGAAACGTACAATTTTGCGTCGAACATTTAAATGTGGAAAATTTAATTAAAAAATGGTGCAACGGAATTGATTGAATTTCATCAAACGCGTTCAAAAATCAAAAGGAACCACAAATTGTTTATTGGAATTTACGCACTTTTGACTGTACACCATTCAGTTAATCGAAATGAATTTTAAATCATGTTTTTGCGGTTCGATAGCGACAAACGCATTTTAATGCATAAAATGTAATATAAAACGAGTGGAAAAAGAGGAATGGATCGCAAAAAAAAAATCGGTTCAATTGAATTCAATCGTTCAGAAGGGAATAAAGTAGTTGACTGGAAAACAAATCTCGATAAAGTTTTCTTCATGCTTAAAAGGAGCTGCTGCTATTGCAGACCATTTTCTATCTCAGTTCAAAATTTGCAACAAACACACGCAATTAGATCAGAAGCCACAAACTTACATTTCACTAACGAAAAGCCAACAAAAAACTGCAGGAACATTTTTATTAGCAAAAGCTGGTTAAAACTTTGCAAATACTTCATATCTTTTTTTTCTCTTTTTTTTTTTCTATTTCACAAATGAACAAAATCACTGTTTTCAAAACGAGATTCAATCACATAATTTTGATTTTCTTGCGAGTTGAGAAAAAACTTGAAAATTTTCACCATAAAATATTTTAAATTTTTTTTATTTAATTTTCACATGAAAAAATTGCACTAAATTTTTTCGCAATTGATCATTCGTTGAAACGAAAGAAAAAAAATCACTGACTGCAAAACCGACAGCCGTTAATCGTTGAGAAAAATTAGAGAGAGAGAGAGACAGTGAGTCCGTTATGCGAATTCAGGCAGTTTCGAAAAATTCCATCCAAATATCAGCACGATCCGTGATAAACTGATGAAAACTTAAAACTGCAACGATGGAATATTTGTGAGTATCCTAGCTTGGGATGTTTCGGTGTGAACGGGAGACGTACGTTTGTACAAACGTTTGTGTGTGCATGGAACTGGTGCGGTTTGGTTCATGTGAGGAATCCAGAGGATTCAAACACACAACGGACGAATGTAGTGAATGTTTTTTTTTTAGATGCGATACGCTAGACAATGAACAACAACTGAAAAGTATATTACAGTTGCTGAGCCACCGCATCGAAGCACCGACTGGCGAATGCACATATTTCTCCTTCGAATCTTTTGTGCGACGACGACACACACAGAGTGTGAGTGAATGAGCGTGTTTTTCTACTGCTGCTGCTGCTGCTATTGTTGTTGTTGTTGTTGTGGCGCTTCAAAATAAACAGCGAATTTTCATTTGATTCGCATCACAGAGTCGTACGATTGGTTGAAATGCTGTATTATATTGAGCTACTGCAAATAAACCGTCCACATCGAATTGGCATGATGGAGCAGTGTATGGATGGCATCTAAACGGAAAGCCACATAAGAGCAAGTCGCAACTGATGCGCAAACTGTTCAAAAGCATGTGCTTCGGCTGTTTATGTTGGATCACACCAGAAGAAATCATCATCATCATCGTGGGGCAAACGGTGCTGTGCTGCTGTTGCAGCCGTCATCACTGCTGTAGGGGCAACAACGCCGAGCTACAGGAGAATTTGAATGTTTTGATTTTTGGAACGCAGTCGCATTCGTTCGCAAACACAATCCGATGCCGAAAAAGCACGTGGCCCAAAGTCGCATACATGCAACCGCTGCTATTTCATGCATTATTTATTAAGTCGGCATTTTCGTGGAAAATATGTTTGCCTTCTAAATATTTGTAATGAGATTATCGAGCGCAATGTTGTGGAATTTTACAATTTTTATTTCGCTCAAACCGAATTTTTGAAGCATATTAATTTCATTTTTTTTTTCAACAGTTTACAATTTTTCGTCCACAAAGTAAACAATAAAATCCAAAATTACCTGAAAATGTATATATGGATATATATATATATATGCAAAAAAAAACGATTGGATGAAAGTCGAAAGACCAATGGAAACCATGAAATCGATAGCAATGTGCGGTCATTGTTTTTTTTATAGTGCGAAAAGTTTTGGATTATGAGCTCGAGGACCGCTAAAACAGGAATACAAAAAAACTGGCAGCAAAAGCAATGAAACCGACTACAAATGCCACTTGTGTACGATCGATATAAAAAAAAACTGAAAGTAGGAAAGTAAGTCACCATCCCCATTTGTAGTAGTGAGCAAACGATGCTTTACAACGAGATTCGATGTGTTTGTATTGCACAATGCAGCGGCAAAAAAATGCGAATTATGAACAGAGAACATGAAACAGTTCTTCGCTTTTTTTCGGTTGTTGTTGAATCGCATTTGATCGTGGAAAACGTATGCTATTCATGGCAAAGCACTGCTTGCATTTCATCAACAATGCGCGTATCGAGCCAAAACATACGTGCATATGAATGAACGACCACTCGCACTTGGTGCTGTCGGTTGCGTTCAAGGAAACAGGCAAAGCAATGGAATTAATATTATGGAAACGAAGCGAAGTGAAATAACGCTACCGAGCTGGCTTTTTCCATCGTCCGAAAAAAAAGTGGATGACGAAAACTGTGAACCGAAAGCGAATAAAGTAAAAAATGGAGGGAAAACTCACGGAAAAAAACACAACGATATACAAAAAAAAAATACTACACAACAAGTCTTCTTTAGCCATTAAGCAGATTATACGGCTGGAGATATGAATGGATGGCTCTGTAGACGAAAAAAAAACAACAACCATAAACAAAAATATTTAGAAAATAATGGCGAAAACTTTTCTCAACTGCATCGGTTCGGCAATGTATACGATTGATGAATGGGTGTACCACGAATGGGACGATTAGATCGATTTAAAGCCGAGAAATTATATACGATTCGCAGAACTTTGCATATGGATTAGTGAGCTGCGAATGGGTATTGATTCGTCCGGGCATGGTATTGATAGAGAGAGACATAGAGAGAGTTAGTTTAAATCAATGGCAATGATTGTTATCAAAATTCATTGAAATATTACGACAGGCTTGTTGCCTGAGAAAGAGATATATGTTAAATGCATCAAAGTTGAGTGCAACAGCAGCCGTAGCAGCATAACTAGCAGAGGAAACATCTAGTTTATCCATCCCTTGAAAAAAAAAAAACATGAACAAACTCAAGTGCACAGTACGTTACCGTTAACAGCGGCTCCTGTTCACACAGACGCGTGAACAGCACTTGAGCGAAGACACAGTCAGTTTGGAGAGAGTGGAAAAAAGTAGCTGCAACTGGAGTGGAACGAAAAAAAAAACTACACCAAAAATATAATTTGTTGGAGAGTGGCCGGTTGCAGTAACGGCAATCACTCACTGCTGTTCAACAAAGTTCGGCGAGCACATAAGCACACATACACACACCGGTGTGTACAAGGTCGACGTTTGCTGTTTAAAGGCGAGCAAAAAGCGAATGAGAGCAAAGGAGTTGGGAGGGAGGGAATAAAACAAAGAACCATGCAGTAGATCAAGTGCTATCAGTGTCCGCGGGATGGGTGAAAACACTGAGTCGAGTACTTTTCCAACTAGAACCAGCACCACCAGCAGTGGCGATCAGAACGGAAAAATAGAACGGAAATAACACCACACACACACACACACATCGAGCAAAAAAAAAACAACACAACTCAACCAAATGGGAAAGAATGCGCTTCAGTTTATGGGATAATAGACTTCCATATAATACACTTAAACTTATGCTCATATATTTTGTATAATACACTCGACAATATTAAATTGGATGAAGTGCATTAAAGTTATTATAACAGTTAGACGATGTGTTTTCAAATGCGATGCTACAGTAGCCAGTGACGATGAGCACGACGAGGATGATATGTTCGAGTTAGGCGTGATGCAGAGACGAATCGAGGTCTCGTTTTGGTCATTCAAACAAAGTTCATGATAGACGATAAACGAGATACGACACATAGACAAACACAAAAACACACACACACACACAAACACCCTCATTGCCGGCCAAAAACTTCGCTCTGGCATCGTAAGTTTGCAACATTTGCCTAATGGTTTTTGAAATGATTGCAACTAATGTATGCCTCCCTGAAATAATGAATACTTGATTTTGATTACATATGTGGCGGTGGTGGCTGGTGGTGCCGCTGCTACTGCATGCGGGACATTGGCCAAATGTGTTGTTGATTTTATACATTTCGTAAGAGTAGTCATGAATTCGAGTATAAATCGTGTTTATTTGATCGGTCAGCATCGGTCAACAATTGCAATAGATTTGAAGGATGTTTGGCACTCTTGCAAGTGCCGACCCGCACGTATGCGTAATAATATAAAGTGAGTGGCCATGCGTCGGCAATTTCCATTTTATTTGTCAACATCAATCATCAAACTTTATTTGCTACAATCCAAATGTATTTGCTCAAGAGTATTAAATCAGTTCGTGGTCAAAAGCCATCCAAATGCATTGTCATCATCAACAACATCATTTTATTGCTAACATTATGCGTTTCCAATCGATAAACTGGTGATTTACTTTCAACACTTCATTTTCTCGATTGTTTTTATCTTCATTAAATTTACAGTGGCATTCAACGCACGACACTCGAACCGAAAAAGAGATGACGAAGCGGATGGAAATGTAAGGCTAACACATAAGTTCACAATATTTATTCGTTTGCATCGACTTCTCTGAAATGCACAGCCACCCAACCACTCGAAAGCGATGCATTTTGCCAAATTGTTGAAAACTACTATATTTTCCCGGAGAGTCGAGCAAAAGCATCTCACAACCGCACGATAATAGTTGCGGACAAAAAAGGAAGATACATGCATAAATTCTGTTATTAAGTACTTTTCCTGTGCAAAATGCACACATCCAAATGTGATAATAATGTTTCGCCTTGAACGGAATACCATCATAATTTCTCTCCGAAAAACTTTGCCAATTGCAAACTTTCAGCGAAATCTTTGTCAACCACAATTGTACATGTTTAATGTTATTGATTCTTTTACTTTTTTGCTTGAACACTCTCTTTCTATCTCTCTCTCTCTCTCTCTCTCTCTCTCTGTTTCTCTGTGTGAGTGCACATTTTCACTCGTCGAATAATAATATCCCGATGCCGAGGACACATACGAAAAAAAAAGAATGATACGACGAAGCATGCTGATGAAGCACGAATGCATCGAAATTCACTTATTGCAGATACATTTCCACACTCAATGCATAGCCAATACAGCGGCTGCTGACGATCCAACGCAAAAGAAATACAAATTTATTTCATAACTATTCCAATTTTTGGGTGTTATGTTAATAAATCAAAACCAAGTACCACTTAAAGTGTGCGAAAAGAATAAGCATGCTCACAAACCGTAATTAGCTCGGTCAGAAGCAGCAAATAAGAAATGAGTAAAACCAATTTTGCAACGAAACAGCAGCCAACGACAGCGACAGCGACAGTGGCAACTGCAATGCCAGAGAAAAAAGATGACGGAGAAATAAAAATGGTACTAAATTGAGAGACATCAGGAAGCATTAAATGATAGGAGGAAGCAAGCGAGGCAAAGTGCTTGCTCATTCGTGCAGCCACTCTTCCGTCCATAATTAAATTGAAATTTTAACGGCAACGAGCACACACACACCACCAAGACGACGTACGTTTTCGATTATTTAACTTTGTTTGAATCATTTCTCTGTTTCTCTTTCTGTCGCCTCAACCGCCTGTTAATAGATTGCATACTAACTGCATGAAACAGTCACTATCTTCGCACGCTCCCTCTGCCATTGCCACAGCTCTCTTCCTTTCGCTGTCTCCAATGCACTCGGTTGACTCTTTCCTCATCGTTGGCTTTTTTTTTCCCATCGTCCCCC